ACTGGATTTAAAAATATGTAATAACACACAGAATAAAAGTAAGTTTGGGTGAGAATTTGAAAAGAACCAACTGGTGTGAATAAAGTATGCTTGATCAGCCTGATTTTAGAGAAACAAGTCACAATTTTAATAACAAATGTCAGACACATTATTTATATCTCATTATGGCATTTCTCAGACTGGAAGGTAAGGCTCATTGAGTCTTGCTGAGCTCTCTCAGCTGTCTGGCTTTGATAACTACCAAATCTGTAATTGAGAGGTGGGCAAATTCCTCCTACAGCTCTTATATAGCTCCTCTACAAAGGCCTCCTGATCCCAAATCTACCTTTTGAAGACTGATTAATGGACTAGCATGAAGACAGATGACACATATAAAAGATGAGATGTACCAATAAAGGACCTGTTGGTGAAATAAGATCTATATAATAGTAAAACAATTTGGGAACCTGACAGCATGTAATAGAGTGCAGCAACTGTGCTCCAAACCATTCGGGAGTAGACAGTATATAATAAGACGACATTCTTGGCACCAGGATACTTGGCAATTACAAAAGCCACTGGAAAATTCAGATAATTCTCTTTATTCACTTTAATGGACCCAATTTGTCCCATCAACCCTTTAACTAATGGCTAAACCTAAACATATCACTGAGGACACAGCCAGGAATGAACTCCAGGTTCCAGGAATTTCCTGTCACTGCCAACTTTGCCATAACTACAAACTTTGCCAACTGTGACCTGGCTTCTCTTGTTCTGGCATCAGCAAAAATAAATTTTTGAAAAGATCCTGAAAAGAAGTACCCAGATCTTTGCTATGTTGTGACTTAAGACTGGGGTAGGGTCTGCAACTCTCCACAGGATGAGGTAGCTGGAAAAAAGTTAGGTGGCTGGCCTGTCCTGAAATCTCAGGCTTGACTTAAGAAGAATTGGCTGGGACTTTATGGGACAGTAACCCTTAAGGAGAACTGGAATTTTGTTGGCATTCACCAAGAAACTGGTCAAAGATGATCTGAGACAGGTATAAAGTCTAGTAACATTTTTATGCTTCTCACACTCGTTTTCCTCCTGCTTGTGGAGTTTTTGCATGGAGAGAAGCAGGGAACTATGGAACCAATACCAGTGCCAGATTGAGAGTAAGGATGCCCAGCACCTAGTCCTGATTTTCATCTCAGCAAAAGAGGAAAATTCAAAACCAGGCCTGTTCAAGGACAAAATTAGCAATTTATGAAGCAGGAAAACTGTGGAAGGTCTTCAAGTATCAGAAGGTTGGTCCAGATGACCTTGAAGGCCCATTATTACCATTCTCCACTTTGATTTTATTTCAGTATCTCCAGCTGGGACCAGGCTGTGCTGTAGAGCACCCCCTCTCCTGTATGTCAGCCTCCATTCCCCTCTCTCACTTCTTACAAGGAAGATAAAGATAAAAGTCAGCTTTCACAGCCTCTCATACAACCTTTACACTAACTATAATTTCTTACCTATATGGGTGGGTCTTTAAATAATTCTAACAGCTGTTTTATTTTGTTTTTTCCCACATTGTTTTTCTCAGAGTTTATGCAAACCCTCTTCTACTATTAACTAACACTGGATTCTAAAATTGGGTACATTTTGAATTTTGTGTAACTTCATTAAGTTGTTTTTTAATTACTAACATTTTAAACATGTTCCATGTATTTTTTCAATAGTAAGATTACATAGCTTTCCCAATATTTAAATAAGACTTCCCAATGTCTTTACAGGGAGTATATGGGAAAACATTTTTTTTTCCTTAAAAAAAAAAGTCAATTCCTAATAGCTTCAAATAAAGACCATGGAGGCCCCTAGTAATTTTTTACTTTATAAATAATTCAACGTGTGATTTATTATGGAGACGTTAAATTTTCAGAGACTAGGAGATTCAGGTCACTAACAGGTTGGTTAGGACTGAACCACCTTAGCTGTACTTTTACATTAAAAATCATATGAGTTACATCTGGAGCAAAACTGCCTATGACATTGGGAAATTTGTAGCTCTGACAAGTAATAAAGGTGGCAAAATCTGGGCCTTTAAATCCTGGGGCCCTTCACATCAATTCAAACCATTCATGTGCCAAGAGGGGAACCAGCTGGAACAGGAGAAGGGCTTCATAATGAAAAATTAATGGGGAATTCCAAGTACCCGGATACATGAAAAGTAGAAAAAGGGGTCTGTCCTTGACAACTGAAACATGCTAAATTATTAATTGTGTCAAGTCCAGGCAATTGCTGTCAGTCCAGGCAATTGCTGTCACTACTCTTTCAACACCTATCTCCCAGACAGTTTAAAAACTTTTTTTAATGTATTAGAATTCCAGTCATAACATATCCATTTGAGTATGTTATACCTAATATTGAGGATTTATAAAGTAAAATAGGATGCTATGTAATGAAAACAATAATAAACACTTTCTTTTCAAATACTTATTTTCCACTTAGGAAGCTACATTTTATTATAAATAAGGGAAGGTTTGTAGTTTTAAACTGAAAACCAAAAATAGAATTTTCATGGATAACAAAGCACAGAGAATAGTGAAAATAGAATAGTATGATTTTTATCTTTTTCTTTCTGGACTTAATCATTCTCCAAGGGCACTATTATAACTATCATCATCAATTCACTTAATCCTTAAAACCGCTCTGTGAAGAAGGAATTATAATCACCCACCTTTTACAGAAAAGGAAACTGAGGCACAGAGAGGAACAGAGAGGAACCTGCCCAGGGTAACACAGCTAGGACACTAGCCCATTGGACACCAGGATCTGGACTCAAGTGGTCCAGTTGCCATGCTCCACTGCTGTTCAATACCTCTTTGACCACGTGCAGGTGGTTCTAGAAGCATTTGAGGAAACAGTAAATTCTGCAATTGCAACACTTAAAAAAATTGGATTAAACTGAAAAGGGTCCCATTAAGTCTGCTGATGACCAAGGGTCTCAGAGTTAAAATACATGATTACTTTTGTCAGCTTTAACCTGTGATTTTCTTGTTCAAGTAACATGTACCTGTACTGCTAAAGTGATTCATATAGTCTAACTTCACTTTAATTAGCATTATGAGCTTGAAGTACAATGAAATGATTTCCTTACCCTGGTAGTTTATAAGGGCCATGTTATTAAACATCCTTGAGTTTATTTAATGTTTTTTTAAAAAGAGTGGTTTTTTTGTTGTTGTTAACCCTCACCCAAGGATATTTTCCCATTGATTTGTAGAGAGAGTGGAAGGGAGGGGGAGAGACACAGAGAGAGAAACATTGATGTGAGAGACACACACCAATTGGTTGCCTCCCGTACATGCCTGGACCAGGGCCGGGGATCAAGTCTGCAACCGAGGTACGTGCTCTTGACCAGAATCGAACCCAGGGTCCTTCAGTCCATGGGCTGACGCTCCACTGAGCCAAACCGGCCCGATACATGAACAGTAGAGCCATTTAATGGTTTCTATGTAACAAGTAAACATTAGACAGAATCCAGATTAATACTTTCTTGGGTAATCCCCCCCCTTTGATTGATTAATGATTTCATAAGTAAGACCTGCTTTATTTAATATCACTCAAATATCCTGGAGTCTATGTTATATTAACTTTCAAAAATTCTGAGATTCACCCAGGCAGTGTGGCTCAGTGGGTGAGCATCAGCCCATGAATCAGGCAGTCATGGTTTGATTCCCAGTCAGGGCACATGCCCAGGTTGTGGGCTCGATCCTCAGTAGGGGTGTGCAGGAGGTGACCAATCGATGTTTCTCTCTTTCTCTCTTTCCGCCTTTCCCTTCCTCTCTGAAATCAATAAAAATGTATTTTTTTTTAAAAAAAATCTGAGATTCATCTAAAAGGTATCACTGCTACGAAACAACTATATGGAACCATAAATCCTAATTTCTTCTTTATTACTGCAAATCTCACACACTGGGTAGGGTAAAGCAAGTGTGTTGGGCAGAAGGAGGAGGTGCAAGAGTTATAACTACTTCATTCATACATATAACAGGATCTACGCCACTACCACTAGAGCTAGCTTTTGTAATTCTGTAGTTATTGTTCCCAAGGCCTTGTTAGGATGCTCCCAAAACACATTGCAGTCAGAAATTACTGGCCTAACACCAAAAAAAGATGGAATTCTTCTGAACATATTAAAAAGGCGGGGAAAGTATGAAAAGTTATTCTTATATTAAAATTGGACTCTACCACTGCTAAAATGGAGAAAGGAAAACAATCGATTTCTTGTGGTTATTTCTAGATTTTGGACTCTATGAGATATAAATTTTGGTTCACTAAAAAATTCCAATGTTAGAATTGAAAGGGACCTTACAAATCAGTGTACAACACCATCAATTTAAAGATATAAAAGACTAAGCCCACAAGAAGTTAAGTTTAAAACTAAATAATCGTTTCCTCTGAGTTTGTAAAAAAAAAGTTTGGGTCCCTTTTGAGCTAATTATTATTGTTGTTTTTGTTGTTATTAGATGGTTTGTTTTTTAACTAAATTATAAACCTGAGATTGCTTTGAAGTTGTATTATCATTAAGACAAATGGGTAAACTGGTATTTTTAAAATTAAAATTTTCCAGATTTATTTACAGTAAGATAACAGAACGAACTCTTGGTTTCTTTGCCACTTTCAGGTTCTGAAATGAACTGGATCAATATAGGAAAAGTTTTAAATGGTAATTTTCTTTTATTCTAATGAGAAAACTCACTGCAGGATAGAGTAGACAACAAATTATCTATTTTTACGGCAATTTATAATTTTCCAGGTTTCTTGCTATATGAAAGAATAAAATATCTCAAAAAAATGTACATACCAACAAAAAACCTTATGGCCACAAAATGTAGGAGAGCAAAAACCTGCATTGTTTTAAATGAAAATCAATAAAGACAAAAATCAGGAAAGTGGAATGAAAGAGTCTGTGGTAATTGGGACTTTTGCCCCAAACACAGCGTTAGTCAAAATGCTCTAGGACACAGGGAGAATTCATGTAAGACATTCCTTACCACAGAGTCAGAGAAGTGGAAATCTGGGTCCATTACTCATGCAGGATAACCTGCATTACCCTCGTACAGATGCATCACTGGCAAGAGCTGATGAAGAAAAATGAAGGCTGAGAAAGAAAGCGAACGGTGTATCCTTCACATGTAATTTTCAGCAAATTTTAATGAGTTCAATCTTTGATAAGTTTTGCTCCCTTTTCTTCCTTCAATTTCACTTAGAAAATATCATCTTGTTTAAGTTGTTCAAGTATAACTTTGCAACTAGCCTAATATGGCCCCAAATTACCACCTTCCAACATTCCTTAAGGAAGCACCTGATTAAATACCATCTGGTTAAGCAGATCAAGGCAGCTTTAGGCTGATTCCAAGAACAAGAACCTTACCAACTTGACAAATCAGTGTCTTTACTCTGTCAAATGCTGTCTCCTGTCAGAAGGGTTTTCTATTTCTTAAAACTTGCTTTTCCATGCTGGCAGCCTCCTGTTGGTCGCGATAAGGTCCCGGCTCCTAAAGCTTATACATTCTTATTTTCCATCCTCCAGGTTCTCTGCAGATTACACCATTAACCTCTGCTACTGATCTGGCAGGAAATAATCTGAAAGCCATTCAAAAATTACAACTGCATTTCTACGAGAGCCAAATTTACTTTCTAAAATACCTAATTCATTTGCCTATATTTTAAAACAACTTTAGCCTTTGTGACAGCATGGATGTACCTGGAGAGTATTATGCTAAGTGAAATAAGTCAGTCAGAGAAGAAAAGTACCATATGATTTCACTCATATGTGGAATTTAATGAACAAATTGAACTATCAAGCAAAATGGAGACAGACTCATAGATAGAGAGGAGGCAGACAGATCTAGTGTACGTGTGTGTGTGTGGGGGGGGGGGTCTGGCTGAGCAAAAATGAAAAAAACAAAAGAGAACTCATGGACACGGACAACAGTGTGGTGACTGCAGAGAGGGTGGGTGGAGGTGGAAGAGGGCATAGAGGGGATAAATGGTGATGGAAAAAATAAAATAAAATAAAAAAATTTTTAAAAAGACTATCACTACTATGGTGCTGCCTTACTTTTCGCCTTTGTCCACAGTCAGAAAAAAAGATGAAAGGCAGGAAGCGGTCTAACTATCAACAAGAAGTTCTCCTTTGAAGACAGATAACAAAATACCACAGTTAAAAGTATGTTTGTAATCACAAAGTTACTATTCTTGAACAAATTCCAAATACAGTTATGTGTCTTTGATCTTAGAAGAGCATTTTTCTCACTGTTCATAGCTGACATCAATGGTTCAGTTAGGCACCCACTCCCAACTATGGGAAAAATGTTCCCTGAAATTCAATCATGTGAGTTATTAGCTTTTAGTTGTCAGCCTAGAAGTGGCTGCTTATGCTCCGCACTGCTGCTGCCTGGGATATTTCTGTCTGCTATGACAATATGAGAACTTGTCCTATAACAGCATCCATGTGACCACCTGGCAGACGTTTCAATTCCTTCTGTGTGGTGTCAGACAGTCCCAGGGAAATATTCAGCATCTCCCCAGGTGGGGACTATTAGCTCAGCAAAACATACTGCAACTATGAGAAAAATTTTGAGCACCTTAAACCTAAACAGAGTTTAAGTTTCATATTTGAAAACAAAATCTATTCTCAAGCTTTCACATTTTATAATACATCAAAAAAGTCTAATGATAATATGTAGCTTCAATAATGAAATAAGCCTATTTTAAAACAATAAAAATATCCCTAATGTCTTCATAGTCGATTTTAAACAATTAGGAAAGATAAATACATTATTATATCATTTATTCAAAAATACTTTCTTCAACAGCTATTGTTGTGAATCTTGTAATCAAGATAGAAACAAGAGTTAACTGACATGGTACAATTATGGGGAAAGCTCTTATCTTCGACTAGAGGCACAGTGAACCAAATTCATGCACTGGTGGGGTCTGGCCAGCCCACCCTGATCGGGGCTGATCG